ATGGGAGTTTCTACTTAGTCTGTATGCTTAATTAATTGTTTATTTTAGCTGTATAAGAAAAAAGAATTTCTAGTAGGATGAAGGGGTTGGACGGGTCATGCCACTTTAAATGGGTTTTAAACATGCTTGGATTTTAACCAGTATAATCGTGTCAAAATTTAAGCTACATAATCTTGTTGACATCGAACTCCTAAAGTAATTCTTTTACATTATATTGTAGTTTGGATTTTTGGATCTTTCGAACTTGGAGAATATTGAAAAATCACTGTAGCCGATGTATAAAATTGTGCTCGCACTAGACAAAATCTCTAGTTCTGCCCTTGGATAGTGCCAAATTCTCCAACCTAACAAACCAATAATATAGTCCGGCAATACACTCTCAAATGACCTCGTTGGGATGGAAATGGGCTCTAACAAACTTGCCTTTCCAAGGGTCTGCCTTATTCTGCAGATAGAAAAAATAAGTTTTCACACAAATTGCAATAGCATCCAGCATTTGCAGTAAATAGTATGCAGGTTCCAAAAGTGAACAAGTTTCTCTCCAAGATATCCCCAACTAAAACGTGTCATGACATTTCGTAATTAAAGATTTCCTCAAATCTTCACCCTCGGAACATAGAGGCTATTTTCTTTTATCTTCAATGAACCTCCATCCAATTAGAATTGACGAGTTCTACACTACTTGATGAGGTCAATCAAATAATGTGTTGTCGTGTCCTTCTCCAAAAGTGTCATATTTGATCTATTGTATTTATAGTAACTTCACTTCCAAGATCATTGAGTAGATGCGGACTATGCGCGCCGACTGAGAGCATCTACTACATAATTGAGAGGATTAGATGTTTAAAAGATGAGAAATCATGATAAATGTTTACAAACGACAGTATTATTTTTACAACTGAAATAAAATATTACAACTTAAACTAATATTTATAAAGTATGATCGAAGTTGGGCAAACCGGGCTTGCAAGTGGATCAAGGGACTAAGTATAACTGTGGTCCTTAACACTCGGACAGAACTCTCTCAAAAAAAAATCATGCCCTCTTTTGGCTCCCTTTAAAACTTTTCAATTTAATTTAATTTTTTCTTTTTCCTATTTTCAACCACACAATCTTTAATAAAATAATATTACGCTCAAATCAAAAACTTTTCAAACACACAATCTTCAAAAAAATTACTATTCCCCCATTATAAATTCAAATAATGGGAGCCAAACGAACTCTATATTAGACTAATCTTCAACGTCACTTATACAATATAACATTATTCTTTGTAAATTATCATACATTTAAAGTGTGGACTGACTTTTAACGTCCAAAAAATCTTTACAACTTCGATATGCATAATTTCCAATTTTGAGGATCTGATCCACCTATCTCTACGTGGAAACTTGGTAGGCTGTTTGTCCTTTAGTTGCAAACGGCAATTTTATTACGGATGCTAGTCAAACATGCGATTGAGCAATTCATATTTGACTCGTTGGTTGTCCATAGAAGTTACGCTTTCAATAATGCCCAGTACCTCTAACTTATGCTTGCACTACAATAGGAATGCCAAACGGGCCGAGTGGCTCGTCAGCTCAGTCACTCGGCTCATGGGCGGCTCGGACTCGCCACAAGCCGAACAGAGGTGGGATCCAACGAGCCGCGTTGAGCTCGCCCACGAGCCAAACTTGTGGGCTCGTGAAAAATGTGAAGAAAAAGTTTGAAAATTTTCAAAAATAAAAAATCGAGCTCATCCATTGAGCACGAGCCGAGCTCGTGTGTTTTAGGGTCGAGCCGAGCCTACCACCACTACACTATAAGTTGCACTTTCATTTTACGCTTATGCTAGGGATATCAAGTTGGTTCGTCAGCTCAAACAACCCGTAACTTGAATCGAAAAAGTCTGAGTAGACCAGACTCGTGGCTTGGAGGAACCGAGCCAAGGCTCGAGCCCGAACCAACCAGTATAACTCGTCGAGTCATACAGTCACGAGCCATTTTGGCCCGTGTTAGCTACCTACATAAAATGTAGGCAGTCAAATATATATATATGAAAAATATTAAAAAAATGTATATTTTTCAAAAATAAAAGATAAAAGCAAGCTGGTCCAATTTGATAAGGTCGGAGTCGAGCCTAGATTTTTTTGATCGAACCTCTGCTCGATTCAACTAGGGAAGGGGGAAAAAAAACACTCGAATCATTTTTTATCTAAACCATGTTTGAGCCATGAGCTTTGACTTGAGAGTCAGCTCAGTTCATCTTGTTTACATCCCTAGCTTGCATGACTAAAACTTCAAACTCAAAATGGACAAATATAAAGGAGTTAAAGCCAAAAGTGTTAGCCATTTTTGACTAACTACAATCTTCTAATTTCTTATTGGAACTCATGTCCAATAAGTTTGAACACACTGTAATATCAACATGATATTCGTGGAAAATATTTGCTAAACAATTTACGTACTGCGCACATGTTTACTACTAACACGCTTTTAGTCAATTGAAGAAATGACCCACTCACCAACCTACAAAACCCTCTTTTTGACTTTTTATACTTTTTAATTTTTCATTCATTTTCGCCTTAACTACTTAGAACTTATATGAAGCGGCCTTTCACTGCTAAACTAACTTTGTGAGAGTCATTTAACCGACTTAGACTTTAAAGGTTTAAACCCCATCTAGATTCTTGACTAATAAAGTTGAAATATAATTATAATTTATAAGTGATTAATTTAATATGTATCTTTCAACATTTAGGAAGCTTTTGAGTCCTTGACTAATCACCCTATAGTGATCGATTTCCAATCATTTATTAAAGTAATGCTATTTAGTCCCACTAAAATTATAACCACAGTTTATGTAATACTAATATGGTATTAAATGATAAGTGAAATTAAACGAAGGTTATTTAATTCCATTTTTCATTTAGTCTCTAATCTAAAATCATATAGTCTAGGGTTTATATATATATATATATATATATATATATATATATATAGAGAGAGAGAGAGAGAGAGAGAGAGAGAGAGAGAGAGATTATACGATAGGCTTAAAAGTACATACCAATTCGTGGTAACTAAAACAAACTTGGAATGGAGCATTTGTCGACATTTTAAAAACTTTAGGATGGTTTTCATCCAATAATCTCGGCTTCAAGGGAGGTGAATGTCATTTAGCCCATGTTTGGTAAAGTTTAAGAATTTGCTAAAAATTTAATTCAAAAGTACCAATTAATTTTACTTACCCATGTTATGAAATTTACAATTTTTATCAACTTTTCAATCATATATTTTATTAATTTTTATCAAAATTAGTGAAAATATGATTTTTAACTAGACCAACAACGACTTTATCATGTTTCTCGTTCATTCATTAATATTATTTGAATTTTACTCAGCCAGCAGAGAACATGACAAATTCTCCAGTCTTTGGCCATACAGATACGGGTGAACGTTATCTTCTCTAAATTATTCTATGCCGTGCATAAAAAACAATATTTAGCCGTTGTTTGGTTCCGACTATTGTAACAATATATTTTTCTCATATTTTTAATTATATATTTTTCAATAAAATAATATTACGTGTAAATTCATTTTAGACAATAAATGGGGCTTAAACAAGCTCTTAGACCATCTCCAATCCTGCAACAAATTTTACACTAAACTAAAATTCATCTCCAATCATTACACTAAAAGTTACATCATATGAATAGTGTTTAACCATTTTCTTCCCTATTTTATTCTTTATAATTTATTTATTTGGAATATTATTTATTTAATTATTATATAAATACATGAATTAGTAAATAAGTAATTACGTTAAATTACGGAAAAGTTTAAATTCATTAATAAATATAAAAAACATAGAACAATTAATAAAAACGCTACAACAACGAAAATATGAAATCATGCCATTAGAAAATAGTACAATGCATTTCGAATGTGGATGGATGATATTACGAAGTCGCAAAATTTTTGCAATTTAATTCTCGGAATTCATATGTTCATCCCACAAATAATCGATTAATGCATTTTGAGGTGCAATGTGAGTTTTTTATGTATCCTTTTTTTAAAATAAAATTACATTACTGCATGTATGTCATTGTTTAATATATTTTGTGATAACTTTAATAAATAATCGTGTTTGTTATATTTTAAATTGTTTTCGTCTTTTAATTAATTTATTAATTATTATGTCTTACATTTGAAATTTATTTTAAATGCAAATAATAATAATATTAATAATACTAATAATAATTTATTGTATTAAAAAATATATAGCACAAATGACATAAATACCCTTAACAAATTTATTTGGGAAATGTTAAATAAAGGCAAAACAGACATTTTACATTTTGCACCATTTTGCGCCAAAATGGTACAATCATTGAAGATGCCTTTAGTTCTTATTTGATGACCTATATTTCTAAAAAATTATTTTTAATCATATATTTTGCGGGGTTAACAACTTTTATAAATATTTTAATCACATATTTTATTAAGCCTCGGTATGACAATAGTTATTTACGGAAAATAAATTTTTTAATAGTGATTTTTAGAAAAAATGTGTGGTTGAAAAGTAAGAAAAAGTTTTGAGTTTATGTACAGAATAATTTGTTATGTGAATGTGTGGTTGAAAATGAGCTTATAGAAAAAAGAATTTGAAAATAATTCCTGTCGAACAGGGGCTAATTTTTATTAAAATCTATTAAAAATTTAATTTTTATCCAAACAAAACTAGGCCTTAAATCTAAGCCTTTGTTTGAACTCTTGTAAGGAAATGTATTATAAAATTGTGATTTTTTGAAAAATATGTAATTTAAAAATAAAAAAGTTTTTCGATAATGAGTTTTGAAAATAAATTATTTTAAAAAATGAATTATGCTGACAGCCCACTTACACGATAATCACGAGATCCACTCGTGTGATGTGAGAGGACTGTAAAAAATAGTATAAAAATGAATGGTATAGCATAATTCTAAAAAAATTGGGACAAGCTACGAGAATCTCGTACTAGTCCTGCAACTACTATATATAACCACCTTAAAATATCAGAACCCAAAAGTTGTAGGGTGAAAAAGAGAAGTCATGGAATTCCATTTCCTGACCAAAGCATTCTTTTCTGGTGCTTTGGTTGGCGTTTTGGGACTGGTTTTCCATCTGTACAATACCCTTGTTGCGAAGCCGGAGACGCTGCGCTCCGCCCTTAAAAGGCAAGGAGTGAGCGGCCCGCGTCCGACTCTTCTTCTTGGAAACATTTTGGAGATCAAAAAGGCGAGAGATTCAACAGCAAAGGCTTCTACCAATGGCGCTCCAGCCTCGCACAATTGTGGGGCTACTCTTCTTCCTTTTTTTGACAATTGGAGGAAGCAATACGGTATGAACTCTGTTTGGTTTTATGAAAACTTAGATTTTGAATTATTTTGATGAAGGTGGCGAAATATATGGTTAAAAAAATTGATAAAAATTATGAGTTTCATAAAATATATGGTTCAATAGTTCGAATCTCCTGTCCACCGTGATAAAAACTTCTTACCACTAACGTTGTAAGAGGATGATTCTTTGAAAAAGCCCCACTGGACAATAGATCAATCCTATATGATTAAAAATAAGTTAGAGAAAAATTGAATTTTAAGAAATAAGGGCAACATCCAATATTACGAACCAAATGTGCACTTTAGCCTATATTGATATAGGGGTATATTAGAAAAAATGAAAGAAAATTTTAAATTTCCAATAGATTAATTACATTTTCTTAATTTGTGAGAAATTGAAAATAAGCCTGTCGGAGGGAGAATAACCTACTAACCATGTTTCTTCGACATTTTTTTATGGTTACGTAGGCGATGTGTTTATGTTTTCGCTCGGGAATACACAAATAGTGCATGTGACTCAACCGGCCATGGTAAGGGAGATTACTACTTGTACATCTTTGGATTTGGGGAAGCCAACATATCAAGCAAAAGAAAGGGGTTCATTGCTAGGCCAAGGCATTCTCACTTCTAATGGCACCATTTGGGCTCATCAGAGGAAGATTCTTGCCCCTGAATTATACATGGAGAAGGTCAAGGTATATAATTCTATGCTCTAGGACTACGATTTGTCATTTTATTAAGTGTTAGACTATAATTTAATCGAAGTGTAAACTCATCTCCTTAACCGTCGATTTAACTATTATATGTTAACATTGTATCTTCTTCATCGTTATAGTGAAAACGTGCTCTGAAAAAATGTACATAGCTCTCTCACTAAGCTATGAACCACTATAAATCTAATCTTTGTGTGTGCTCTGAATTTATTGTTTGTTTATTATTGTTCTCTTAAGTAAGGATTAGGCTTTAATAAGTAACAATTAACAATGACATCTCTACGTATTTTTACCCATTCAGGGCATGATAACTTTGGTTCAAGGGTCGACGATCACATTATTGAACTGTTGGGACAACATAGT